TCTTCTATTGATTTACTCCTATGTTTTGGATCATTGTCATGCTGCATGACAATGACCTGACTTCTCGGGAGTTCAAGATCACAGACGGATGCCCTGACATTCTGCTGTGGAATTTCCTTGGAATTCATTGGTCCCTCGATGACTGCAAGCCGCACAGACCCCAAGGCAGTGAAGCACAACTGCACTGCACAGTGCTACTTCTACCATGCTGCAAAGCCGGGATGAGTTTTTGGGGTCAATGAGCAATATGTCCAGACTTAATTCAGAAACTTCAACTTCTGTTTCTTCTGTCCACAGAAGATGTTCCAGTAATGTAGCGGAACATCCAGGTGATCTTCAGTTAACATGAGACAGGAAGCAATGTTTTATAGGCAGCAGTGGATTCATCCATGGATACCCCCCCATGAACACTACTCACAGACACCTACAGATCCTAAGCTGCCACCCTGGGGCTCTTTGTCCCTGTTTTGTACATTCTATGGTGGCCCTTCCCTTTATCTTGGTTGGACGCCCCCTCCATGTGGAGTAACAATGAAATTCCTGCATCTATAACAAATCAGCTTGACTATGGACTGATGGAGCATCACGTCTTTAGAAATTATTTTGTAATCCTTCCCAGTCTTATTAGCTTCAATTTCTCCTAAAATCCTCTGAAATCTCTTTCAATTGGCCCTTCACTCGAATGGAATTCCGAAGAGCAAGTAACCAAAAGGAAAATCAGATCACCTGACTCCAATTATTGACCTTTCAAGAGGTCATCCTCCTAGAGCGTCTGATACTTTTCCCATCAGTGACCTTTGTTGTGTGAACCATTTGCTCAATACATTTACGGCACCATTAAATGCTGTGCATGATACTTATTAAACAAGACTGTCTTTATTATTATAATGTATCACATTTTACAAGCCATTCATACATAAATATACATAATTCTAATCGTTTCGCAAAATTTTCCTCACGGCTTTCGGTGTCCAAAAAGTGTTGCATCCTTATTTAATAAGATAAAGAAGAAAGGAAATGATGAACCAAAATTCCATATTCTGGTGTATTCATTTTAAATTGAAATTCGCTCTTTCATTAATTCCCATATTGATTCATGGCAGAGGGCACAAATTATTTATCAAATTCACAATTTCCTTGTAATGACTTGCATTCATCAGGAGTTTTTGTGCAGACTAATTCCTTTAACTACAGTTCCCTGAGGACCAAAAAAGTATTACTACAAATAGCCACAAAGCACTTTTTACAACTCAGTGGTGCATTGGACTGAATATCATCTCAGCAAGACAGAGTGGCATGTCTACAGAGCGACAGCAAAGCTGATGACTGAATTAATGCAGCTGTGGTGGTGATCAAGCCATTATTTAATCCAGCTGTAAATTATGTTGGTGAGAAATGAACCCGGGATGACACTAATATATTGAGGTCTATTCCATTTTTCATTTTTATTTAGCTAACTCTTATTCCAGAATCATTGTCTCAACAAACATCAATTCAAACATGCCAATTCCAATTCTCTGAATTCTGACATGAAGACGTGATTCAGTTGCAGCCCCGGGGCTGAAAATGATGACTGACCTCTGCTGGAGATGAATCCTTTTATTTTTGAGTTGACCCAGCCCATCCTGGCTGGTACAGGTCATGTGATAAAGGCATCAAACTCAAACAGACCCTGTGACACTCGCCAGATGTCCATAAGTATACTGTTTACATCTATTAATGACCCTTTGGCACCCTGACGACTGAGACAACCTTCATTAAAGCTCCCTGTAAACAATTTAATTAAAATGAAACCTGAGAAAACTAGAAGGGACTGCAAAAATAATGCAAAAACAAGATGAACAATACTATACTATAGTTAATTGAATAGCAGTTTCAGTTAATATTAATACTTTACTGAATGGCCGAATGAGTGAGTGGATAGCACCAGACTCCCAGGGTGGGTGCTTAATATTCTGTCCTTGATGTGTGTCTGTGTGTGTGCGTGTGTATGTGAATTAGATTTAGATTACATTAAGGGGACCAAATGTCCCCCACAATGTGATAAAAACCCGTTATGTTACGTAAAGGGGACCACTTTTCAGGTCCCCACAAAGATCTGTGAATGCAATCAAAAAATTAAAAATGGCAAAAGACTTGTATTTTGTTTGGTTACTTATGGTTATGGTTAGGGCTGGGTAGGGGTTAAGGTTGTCATAGTTAGTGTTGGGGGGGGGGGGGGAGCATGAAAGTTTCTTTCCTGATTTGGGAAGGTTTCCACCCACAGTCCAAAGGCAGGCAGTTAGGGTGACTGATCTCCAAATCACCCTTAGGGTGTGATTTTGGAGTGTCCTATGGTCAGTGGCATTGGAGGAAGTCTGAGGGAGTTCATTGGGGGGAGTAAATTTGCCTCAAGGGGGTGGGGGGGCAATAGTCAATTGCTACTGTTTAGAGTACATTTTCACAACTAAACCTAACCAAAAAAGCATCATCCCCCCTATTTCCAACAGCCCTGCCTGCGCTGGATTGGCAGCTCAGTTTGTGATCAATGCTTCCTACTTTGGTGTCAAGAGACCAATGTATTACTGTAGATGGCAGAGACCCAGTCAGATCTCAGTAACCTAAGACTGACCCATTCTTCAAAGGCCACAAAGATAACCAAACCTGCATGCATGATTTACTATACCGGAGTCACAGAAGCAGCAAAGTCCCATGTGTCATTCAATTAATTTGCAAAGAGTATCATCAATGACGTGCTGTCAAAGACAACACTAAAATCAGGTACAAATATAAAAAAAGCAATTTAACAGATGTACAATAAACCTATTAAGCTACTGATCCAAATTTTAAAAAAAGCAGAAGATTGCTTTTATATTGGAACAAGGAAGGAGATTCTGGTCGTCTCATGTTTGGCTCGCAGTCAAACAGAAGGCTGAGCGACTGATTGATTGTGAAATAATGAGAGCTCTCAGCAGACGAGCCACATTGTCACCGGCTGCTCTCTAATCTCTTTGCCTTTCTGCACCCCATTCATGTTCCTATCGCACGTCAGGCAATTAACCAAGGAATATACTCGCTCAGAGAGAAGGGATATCAAAAATGTACATCAAAGCAGGGAGGGGGGGGGGATGTGGCCTGCAGGAGAGACCGAGGGGGGTTTAACAATCCCCTCAACAAATCTGTCAAATAAAAAAAAAAATTAAAATAAAGCATCACTGTGCTTCTACATCTATTCATTGAGAATTTCACACGAGGGTATCTCTGAATGAATGTGGGGTGGCGCAGTGATGCAGTGGAACCAGCACCTGAGTCTCTGAACTGGCTCTACACTGCGGAGTTTACATGTTCTCCCTGTGGGGTTTCCGCCAGGTTCTCTGCTTTCACCCCATAGCCCAAGAGCATGTTAAGGTGAACTGGAGTTGCCCAATTGTCCAGAGGTGAGTACGGGGGGGGGCGGTCTGTGTGCCCTACAAAAGGTTGGCATTCTAGGTTATTCCCTGCCTCGTACCTGTAACTTTCTGGGATTAGCTACTGACCCCCATGACACAGAAGAAGGACGGACAGGTATCTTATAATGTTCTTTCTGGAGATACCATAAGGTAAAGACTGGTACAAGTCCAAATGAAAAGTAAAGTCCAAGCAAAAATCAATGGCAATTACACTGATAAACTAATTTAGCTGTATTCTTTTTCACAGAAAGAATTAAACAGGGAATCTACACAAGACGCAACTACAAATACACTGAAAGAGATATTCTTTCAAGAATGCATAAAAAACGCCAAATAGACTGAAGATTAATGCTAAATACTTTGCACCAATTATACATGTGAGGGCTCTTTATTTAAGCATCTCATGTGCTGAACGTAGAAAATTTAAAGAGATAACATAAACAGGGTGAGGAATTGCCCACGCATGAGAAGACAGATGTGCTGCGAGTTGCAGAGCCGGATATCAACAACTCAGTGGTAAGATCATGTTTGGTGGGCAGGATGGGTATCATTAATGAAATGAGCATTCCTGGTGGCCGTGAGGTGGGGGACATGGGAAGTCAGCTGACAGAGCCTGCATGCTACATATTTCGGGTTTTTTTTTCTCACCGTATGTTGGATTCATTCTTCTCAACCAAAGCATGAGTAGACAAACGGCTAATTTCCATTCGTCTTCTATGATAGCGAAATCCCCCTACGGATCTCCCATGCACTCTAAACAGGAACGTCCTTCGAAAAAAGCCTTCTCTTTCTCTATGTCCTATGCCTTGTCATTCAAACCTCCAGCCACACAAGGCTTCCCATATAACGATAATCCTGTATGCCCGAGGTAGGATACGTTGCTACTCAAATTATTATAATTACTTGAATTTTCAAAGCTGTTTTTATCCAGAGTAATGACTGTAATGCACTTTTAGACTTATAGCAACGTGCAGAGCTGGAGAGTCACGAAAGGCCTCAAGGGGGCAGTAGCAGGACCCCCCCCCCTGGGTCCGGAAGCAGGTTACGTCTGCATTACTTGTTTATGCAGCGTTACCCACTACCCCGTTTGTGTCCCCTGAGGGACTGAGCTGTCATGGAACGCCACTATGGGTCAGATTCATATTCTTCATTTCCCTGAGGGTACAGAAAAGCCCCGACGGATGGCCACCCCAACCGAAGCACCATGGGGGCGAGTTTTAAGCCCTCGCCTGGAAACTCTGCAGCCGCTTGCCCCTGTCAGACGAGGCAGACGCGGTTTACAAACGCCGCTCCATTATGGCTGTCAGCTCCGTTGATAAATGGCAATGCTTTCCAAGGCTCTTTCTTTGTTCTTTTTTCTTTTTTTTTTTTTTTTTTTTGCCCGATTCTTGAGATTTACACACAGCTCACATTATACAAATGACACCCGGCGGGGGCCAGCACGGCTTGCGCTAAGCTAAGTAGCTATGGGTGAACCACCCAGGCGGCAGTGCTGGTGCACAGGTGAGAGCCAACAGCCATGTAAACACACACACATGTACAGTAAAGGACTCAGCACACGCACACACTCACCCTGAGGGTCTGTGGAGATCTGGGTGGAGCCCCTACGATGTCCACTTGGGCCATATCATCGGAGTGAGCGTTCTGCCCGTGGATGAACAAGACGCCTCCGCTGTCAATGACATCCCGCCGCGGTTTCAGCCTCCGCTCCTCGTCCACCTCGAAGTCGGGGTGCGAGACCTCGAATCGCACCTCCTCGTTCCCCGCACAGTCATTGAAGTCCACTGCGGGCAGAGCAGACATAGTAGGCACGTCAAGCACACACGCGGCCCCCAGGGGGTGCTCTCGTCTCCAAACCCTGTATGGAAACTCACGCCGAGGTCCGCAGGAAGGGGGGGGAGGGGGGCGTCAAAAGATTAAATGAAGTATCCCACAAGGTTCTGCCAGGTACATCAAATACATGCAGCTGAACTGGGGCCTCTAAACACTAAACAAGCCATTGCGTGTGTTTGTGTGTGTGTCTGAATGAGCGGTCCCCAAAAAGATATCATTACATGACTCTGTCTGTGTGTCATGTATAGATTACCAAAAAAAAACCTGTTATTTTGATGTGGTGGGGACCATTTTTTGCGGGAAACAACAAAAAAAAATTGTGAATGCAATAAAAAAAAGCCAAAAGTCCTGTATTTTATTTGAGATTTACAATCTTTCCTAATTTTACCTCATGGCTACGTGCCTGGATGGATGGACAGATGGACACCATGGTGTGTTCTGGGCCTCTTAACATACTTCACCCAAAGTTACTGTAATTACTGCACAAGCGAGTTCACACAGCAGGTCCCAAGTGAAGCTGCCACTTGTCTAACAATAATGGCATTTCTCTGACTCACTTCGCTTCATTCCGTTTACTTATTCATCCATCAAATTACTTTATATTCAATTATTAATCAATGCATAGATAAGAGAGAAGACTGACAGAAAAAGGCATTAGAGGCATTGAAGTTCTGAGGCCATTGAGTTTTGCACAGTGCATACTTCTTTTCACTGCGCACATGAAGGACGTGTACTTATTAAATACGCAACAACCACCCATACATGCAACACTGCGGTTACAAACTTTACATTTATATTTTGTTTCTTTGACGAAATTGAAATTAAGATTACAAGCAGCTCTCAAATTATGTAAAACCAACATAAGTGAATCTAGACTTACGCAAAAATATACGATACAATTTACAGAAGCACTAACGCAAAAAGGCGCCATACACCAGTCCATAACTTTACAATTTATTTTTTCATTCGTTTAATATGTTCTTTAGTGCGTATTACTGGTATATATTTGACATGTTTTTTGCTATAGGTTGTCTTCAATTGTATGAGAAGGTAAATCCAGCTTACATAAAATTTGGTTTGTGGAACGGATTACTTACACCAGCCGAGAGTTGCCTTTATTTACGTTTTTAACGTGTAGACATTTTACAGCAGCAGCTGAGGTTCAAACACGCGGTTTAGGTGAACAGGGTCACTAACTTGGCCCTACTGTGGTATCAGGCCAGGGTGGGCCCTGACTTGGGCTCTGTACTTCCTGGGATAGACTCCAGGCCAAGCATGACTCTGTACATGGTAAGAAGGTATGGATGGATGGATGGATGGATGGATGGAATTCCAGTAGAACCCTCATTCTCAAAGATGAAAAAAATAATAATAAAATTAAAAAAAAAAAAATCAAAAATAAATAAATTAATTAATATATATATATATATATATAATTTAAAAAAAATTACTTTCAAACAGTTCTGTTAAGATATTGCTCATACATTATTATGAAGAATTAACACTTAAAATTGTGTCTGGTACATCGATGGGTAATTTCCAGTGTGACCAAAAGGTGACAAGATTTTTCAATAAATCTGTAGGACATATTGATACAATTTTTACATCACAGTGATAAATATGTATGGAGAAAAATCACACCAGAGAAAATTCATGAAGAGAAATGGAATTTGCCCCCGTATTAGATGACTATACTGCAGTCCCTGGCAGTGTGGCTCACTAAGGGTCTCAGGTAACACACTGCACCTGGTGTGCACTGGTTACGCTTCCAGTAAACCCATTAAAAGGTGCGGCTTGACAGCAACGCTGGCGGCAGGTGACAGATCAGGCACCGATGTCAGTCAGACGTGCACGTAGCTCGACTTCCCCGTCGCTGCTCCCGTGACACCGTGGAACGTGACACTGACAGAGTCGTCACCTGACAGACTCGGCAGAGCTGCCACCGCGCTAACCAGCCCCCCCCCTCCCCCTCTCCCCCCCACATGAGGCAGGCCAGGAAAATTAACTGTAGCATTTATTTTTCCCCCCAGAGTGTGTGCAGAGCTCCATGCAACGCCGCTCTTTATGCAAGGATTTCACCACAGGAAGCATCGTCTCTTGGAAGCTGACACCCTGTATGTCCGCCATTGTGGCTGTCTACTTGTTTTTCCCCCACAATACAGAAATGAAAGCCTGGCGCCCCCCCCGCCCCACCTTCACAGAATGACAACTTTTAACTGGAACAATTTCTTTTCCATTCATTCTGGAAGACACCTCTCCCCGGAGGGAAGAAACTCTGAAACTCTCCATCATGTGACAGAGATGACAGCTGGGGGGGGAGGGGGGGGTGGCTGAGATTCCTGCCCTCTGCTGGAATCAGTGTACGAGGGTTAGTGGAAAACCAAAATGAGTCCCACATCATTACGGCCCTATTGCCGGAGTCAGGCCCTTGGGGCTATCAAATAGGCTGTCGGAGTGGTGGGGGGGGGGGGTTGCCCTTCCATTCACCCGGCACACAGTGATGCTTGCCTTACCTCCCTACACCCCCAAACTGCTCCACTTCCTGATCCCAGGGCCTTCTCCGGAAATACAAAGAGAGAAACGGAGCACGGTGTGAAGTTCCTGCTTCACTATAGAGACACGCGAAACTCAATAATCACCATTATTCGGACTTAATTAAATCAACAGTAGTAAGAAAAATCGCTCGGTCTTCAACACGTTTAATCGAATCGAGAGCTACAAAGTGACTAATTAGGACAGCAGTACAGTGGGATTCACGGCTCTACTTCCAGTCGTTCCGACGTTAATTGCTTAATTAAACCGTTATGGTGTGACTTTGTTAGCCAGGAAGGTGTGTGACCCCAGAGAGCACTGAGAATTTCCCCAAACCCTGGTGTGTAAGGCTGTCTGGTGGCAGGTTTCTGCCTTAATATAGGAAATGCCCAGTCATATGTGCATATGGATCTGACTCAGCATGACAAAATACAGTTAATAGTACAGGAAATGGGGGGGGGGGGCGGTGGCTCAGCGAGTTAGGACACTGCGCCTGTGATCAGAAGGTTGCTGGTACAAATCCCATGGTGAGCAGAATGATTTCACCACTGGGCTCCTGAGTAAGGCCCTCGATCCCCCAGGTGCACCAGGAGCTGTCTCACCCCTGCTTGTTGAAAAAGCTACATTGCTTTGCACAAGAACATTCGGGAAAAAAAAACCTATAATTTAATCAAGGATAGGATACCAAATTCGTTTTGTTCCATATTATCCCTCCTCCGGTAAAATAAACAACAGATGCACATGCCAAACCATACCTACAGAAACCACACTGTCCAAAATACCAAACTGTACACATAACCCCCTTCCCGCTCTAAATCACGACTTATTACCAATACCTACAATTTATTCTTTATTATTTTTTAGCAAACAAATTTTTCAAAGCATATTCAAAGCTTCCCCACAGTGGCCCAAATTTTAAATCAATATGGTTTTCCTGAGAGCATTTCCCCATATAGAAATCCTCAGCCTTGGTCTCTTTCACAGATGCAAACTCGTGAGAATTAAGGGTTTTTTTAAAAAAAATAAAAGCAGAAACAAGCCAACGAAGAATCAAATCATAACACTTCAGGCAATTTGTAAACAAAAATAGGGCATTTTTTGACGACCCACCCAAATGTGGGCTGGGTGCTGTGTGGGTGTGGGGGGGCTCTGCCTGTGACGGAGAATGACGGGATTATGGCTAGGCATTCAGCATAAATTGCAAGGCACTCAGGCAGTGACAGGAGAGAGGAGCTGAATGCAGAAAACTGAACACAGGCAGGTTTTTCTATGGAGTGCTACACGTGCGTCCGAAACCTGCACGCCAACGGGTTGGTCATGGACAGGAGCTCTGAAATCCATGCTGGGACAGCCCCTCCTGGTCGGCTGTGTCTCAGAACCCATCGGCACGTCCCCAGACTCCAATCTGAGAACCCAGGGTCCCATGTAATGGTCAGCAATCTATCCACAATAGCAGAGGGACGATCGATGCACTCGTTCGTTCATGAAAATGAGCCTCCCGTCCATGCCACTTCATCCTTGCACTTCGTTTATCAATAATAACGCTTCAGACCTGGAACCCTCAAAGTGTCTGCTTTCGTTTTTGAACGGGCATCAATCTCCGAGGCCTCGGTATGAAAGCAGAGCTGCCAACAGTCAACGTCCGAAGCAGGGAAAAGATGTGTGGCCGTGGCCCGCAGTCACATGGTCCACTGGGCCCGCTGAGGTTATTTCAGTCAGGCCCGGCTGAATTCAGGGCCCCATGTGAACAGCGACAGGACCGCCCCCCCCACATCACTGCCTCCCATCTGTGCCTGGGACCTACCTCCAATCCCCAGCCAGCTCCATCTCTGATCCTACATAGAGGTCAGACGAGCGGCAAGATAGATGGACATACCAGGGGTGGCCGTCCTCAGAGCTACATCACTACTCTGAAGTGCCTACATTTAAATTTTTAAAGTGTTTATAATTTCCCACAATTCTCATCACGCACAGACTTCCAGAATTAATGTAACTATTGACCATTTGTACTGACAGGCACACATTCAGTGGCTATCTTCGGCAAAATATGACATCAAAGAGAACAAAATAATTTCATTAAGACCTCCTATTTTGAATTCCAGTCCTGGTTTAAATGGGACCCAAAGCAATCTACAGCTGAAAACGCTGTACAGTCCTTGTCACAGACAGATGGCTGTGAGCAGTGTAAAACAGCCCTGAATTAAGGCATCTTGGGGAAAAAGGGGGACGACGCTCGCCTCAAAACAGGCAGCTGCCCAGTCAAGGTCCCGTGTTTACGACGGTGCGCAGCAACTCGTATAAATCGCTACAGCTGCTTCCTGGACACCGGAGCACTTTAGCTTATTCTGAATGTATCGACCATTAGCGATGCAATTTCGCCCTGACGGCTTAGCGCTCCGCAGATCCGTGCCCGCCCGGC